CGAGTTTGATTTGACATGTGCAAGAAAATATACCAAAACTTAACTTGTTGAATTTGACTATAGTTTTCATTTATAAATCTCAAAGTTCATTAAAGCTTTATGAAAAAATAATTATAAATATTATAGATTTCTCCACCAATAGATAGAGGTTTTGAAATATACAAATATATGTATTATAAATATTAGTTATCATTTTAAGTCTATAATTTGCTGAAATTTTTTATTTTAGAATTTTTCAATTTTTTTTAGTTTTTTAAATTTTTTTTTATATATTTATTTTCAAAGAAAAAATATATTAAAATCTAAGTATTAAATTTAAAAATTGATATAATTAAAAAAAAATTAAATTTAAATTTAACTAAATAATTTGAATTAAAATCAAAATCTATTTAGAACCGGTTTTAAACCGGTTTAGAACAAGTGGTTTAGTTTATAAACCATAATCATAAAAATGGTTTGATTTATAAACAATATCCATAAACTTAAATTAGTTCATATTAAATGGTTATTCATGTACACCCAACTTGTGTTAGTACTCTCTTTATTTCATCATTTTAATTTTTACATTAAAATACTATACAATTTATTTGGTTAAAATAATTTCAACTTAATTTAATCTTTTCCACGAATTTACAGAATCTTTATTAAAAACTAATAAAACAGAAATAAATAAATAGTAAAGTACTTAAAAGTATATAAATTTAATACTAAAAATATGGTACGACGAACTCTCATCATCTATCAATATTTGTATCGAATTTGGTGAAACAGAAGAATACCTCAAAGGTTTTGTTTTTATCAACAATAAAGGAAGCATATGTAATTTGTGGAATTCATGCTAATTTCCCTCATTGTATTGTGCCATAATTTCAAACTCATAAATCCACACTCCAACACTTTTATTGAAAAGTGATATTTTTATAATTATTAAAGATGATTTAAGACTTTTTATATGTGGATTTAAAAGATTTTTTTAACTGAATTTAAGTGCTAAAACTTTTAATTATAATTTTTTATATATAAATTAGATATCGTCTACGCACAATTATAAATCTTATCCTTCGAGTCAAAGAGAAACATTATTGATAAAAAAAATTTTATTTAAGAGATTTACACCACTGAACTCATAGGAGTTCATTCAAGTCAAATATTTAATTAGGTTAAAATATATCAATATTAGGGATGAAAATTGTTAAAATATTATATAAAATTAGATTAGATTTAATATTTAGATATAATATAAACTGTGTTGGTCCAAATTCAATTAAAATTTGTTATTTACTTAGTTATTTTGAGTGTATATAAATAGTTATATTATGTATCATTATTTTATAACAATTCAATAAATTCTTATTTCCTTATCCTCTATCTTTTTCTTCTTATAAAAGGTGTCTCACACGCTAACATAAATGATTTGAGTCGAGTCAAACTCGTCTCAACTCGACTCATCTCGTTAAGAATTAGTTCTGCTCAAATCTCGATTCGAGTTTGACACAAATTGTTTTAAGCTTAAACTTGACACTTATAAGTTCTTGAGCAACTCGATTCAACTCGTTTGATTTATATCATTAGGTTCAGTTCGTTTGCTTCACATACTTAATAGACATTTTTTTAAAATATTTTTTAAAGTCTATTTTTTATATATATTTAATATATTAAATTAATATATTTTTTTTTAAATATTGAAATACAAAAAATTATAAAATTAGTAAATATTACATATTAAATCCACAAATCTAATCTAATTAAAATAAATTTTAAAATCAATTACAAGATATATGCTACAAACTTTTAAAGATAACTATTTTCTTAAAGATTTATTTTATTTTATTTTTAATTTAAAGATATTTTTATATGATGCAATTTTCTTAGAAAATATTTTTTTAAATTAAAATAAATTTAGAATATATGTTTTATTTTCTTAAATTTAAAGAAATTTAAAAGATATTTTTTAAATTAGAAAATATATGTTGGTTTTTAAATAATTAAAAAAAACATAAATTGTATGACGATGATTCTATTTGTATAATTATTTTTAAAAATATTTTACTCATTTGAGAATATAAGTTATTAATTAAAATTGTTAAATTAAAAGAAAATATTAGGCTAAGATTTAGAGTAGATCTTTAAACTTATTCTTAAAGATAATATAATCTTTCTCATATATAATCGAGTTGACTCATTAACCTAACTAGTCAAATTATGGATAGTTCAAGTTCGACTCAATCAATTAACAAACTTAGTTTTTTTTTCTTATATTCAGCTCATTTAATTAATGAACCTAATTCAATGCACTACTAAAAAATTTGTGTTTAGTGATCGAAAAAACCTAAAAATCGGTCACTATAACGTTTAGCAACCAATAGTGTGACTATCAAATTTCGGTTGGAAAAATGCTAGTCGCTAACCTTTAGAGACGAATTTAGTGACCGATTTTAGCGACTGAATTTAGTGGTCGATTTTAAAAAACTTAAAATAAAACAAAAGTTTTGTCTCTAACAAGAATTGAACCAATGCATTTTCCTTTGTGAGGCTTTCAAATGTCCCTAAACTATTTGATTTTTATTGTATAATTTACATTTGAAATGTATATATTATTAATGAAGTAGAACTTTCAAATATTATTTAAGAAGATTCTTACACTAATTGTCATTAAAATTATATTTTATCTAAATTAATAATTTTCTTTTAAAATTTTACTAACATGATGTTTAATTTTGGTGGCTAATTCGGTCACTAGAGTGATCAAAAATTTTCAATCACTAATTCGGCCACTAAAAACGAATTTTTTAGTAGTGACGATTTAATTATCAAATTAATTTCCAAACTATATTCGAGTTGATTTGCTTCATTGTCACCCTAATTAACATCATTTCATTTAAATACTATTAAATTTAAATTATAAAATTTTGCATAAATATTTACATTTTTTATAAAATATCTTGTCATAGATTAACTACAAACCTTACCCATTCATCATTGAATTATATTAGTTCTCATCACACATGGCAAGAGGGAGGGGCAAAAACGAGTTTAAGTATTACCAACTCCGCTTATGTCTTTATGTACCAACTCCGCACTGCCTCTGCTCCCGATCGAGAGTAACAATTGACCACCCATCCCGCCTCACATGTACCCATTTATAAAAAATGTAATTTTTCTAAAATATATATTTTTATAGCAATAAAAATTAATAATTAAATTAAATATTTGATCATTTCAATAATAATAATAATAATAATAATAATAATAATATTTGGTCATTTTTATTTGATCTATACTATAAAAAAATGAATAATAATTTAAATAAATTTGCTATCTTAAAATTAAAAAATATAAATGAGTAGTAAAATCATTAAAAATAAAAATAATAAAATAAATTTAATAAATCGGGACAAAGGCGATACATGTACTAACATCCTCCGCTCTTGTCTCAAGTTAAATCAATTTTTCTCCATTAAATTTAGGGTTGGGGAGTCATGGCGGAATTTTTTGCCAAGCCTAATTCTTATTGATGTAAAAAATGTGGATTTTTTAAGCTTAATCCTAAACCAATAAAATTAAATTAATTCGAGTAACATATTCAATTGTTTTTATAGGAAGCAACATATTCGATAAAAACGATGCAATCCAGGAACACTATTATTTAAAAATATTGAAGGGGAATAAAAGAAAATGTCTTACTCAGAATGTCTAGGAGGGTATCATTGCCTAGTTATCATTAAAAGAACCGTCGAACCGAATTAAATCGTCGAATCAAATTAAATTGTAGTTAAAATAATCAAATCGTGATGTTTGGTTAGTGACGAATAATATTATACAAATGGCTCTAGAATCAAATCAAATAGCAAATAAATTGAATCAAATATGTAACTAAAAATGATAAATGCTAAAAATATGTTAAAAAAATTTAATTAAAAATTCAATAAAAAGTATACAATTCAATACTTTAACAAATAATTCAATTTGAAAAAAATTCTCTTCTAACAATTTGGTTCGATTCAAAATTCCAAACCAATATATCAAATTAATAAATTTTAATTTGATTCGATTTTGAATTAATTGAAACGATTCAGTTCAAATAACAGTTTTCTATAATTCGGTTTAGTTTTCTCGCGGCACAATAAACAACCTTAAATATCATTTACTTAAAAAAAAAGGAAATATTACATCATATTGTAATGTTTTAAATAACTAATAAAAAAATATTAATATAAAGAAAACTAGTATATCCAAAGAAGTAAATAGAGGGAGAAAAAAACAAAAAGAAATAAAGACACACACTCTATCTCCTTGGCTAGTAGTTGGAAGTTGAGCTAAAGTTGTTCCCTAAAAAAGCCTTTTTGTTTCATTCACTATCATTCTCCTTTTTCATTCTCATAAAGTCAAAGAAACCAACCCCATTTAACAATAATAACTCTTTTATACTTTATACAATTTTATTTTCCTCTTCCATTTTCTAATGCAAATGGTATTAATCTACTGTAGTATTGAAAGTGATGGTTTCTCTAATCAACAACACCACCACCTACATTTGTTATGGCGACGAAGTCATAAAGACCACACCCACCTCGTTGATTTCACATCTTGCCCCACGTTTATGCCTCTTTTACTCTCTCTGGTAATAATATAGCACCCCATGTGTTTGTTTTTATTCTCTTCATGTTATTACCTTCAAAGTTTGAGTCTTTTTGCAATTTTGTTTCACTTAATGACCAACTCTTACTCTCTTTGATAATATAACAAACAAACACAAGCACCCCATGTGTTGGTTTTTACTTGGTTTGTGTTATTAGCTTCAAAGGTTGAGTCTTTTTTGGTTTTGGTTTCAGTTTTGCTTCTGTTGTTTCAGGTGGAATTCTGATTTTGTTTGGTGTCTAGCTGGTTTTGTGGTTATATGTTTGTGTGGGGTTGTTTTTGGTTTCTATCTTGATTTGTTGTTGTTAGCAGGGAGAGATATTTAAAGGGCTGTGTTGTGGTGATTTCTATATATTTCAAGGATGTTTCTTTCAGAAGGTCACAAGCATCAAGTTGTTTTCATTTTATGGTTTTGCTGCTATTTGGTGGTTATTGCTGCACAGAATAATATCACTGACCCTACCGAAGGTATAGTTATTTTTCTCCTTTTTTGGCATTTCATGATTACTTTTCTCCTCAATTCTGAAGTGTCCTTGTGTGAGGGAGATGTTGGGGATGTAATTATTAAATTTTTTTTTATGTCTTTGGGCCTGATTGGATTGATTTATATAAGCGTATCTACCACCATAAACACTTGTCGAAGATTGTTTGAAAGAGTTTATGGAAACAACTTATGACATGTTGTTAAGTTGTTTTTCAATTTATTTCCGTAAATCTTCCAAGCTAACTAATGAAAACAACTTGGAGCTTATATGAAAGTAATTTGACTTTATTTTATCTTTTGATATAGAAATAGCTTATACATAAATACTTATAAAGTTATAACTTAGACTTTTGGCATATTTGGTTCTTGATAAATTCTCTTTGATGGTAAAAGTGATGCAATTTGCAAATATATTCTTTTAGTTAGTTACATTGATGATTAGTTTAAGGATTCAGTTGTACAAAAAAACCTTAAATGACTAATTTTTTTTAACATAAAACCATTTATACGTCTTTGTCTAATAGCTTAAGCTTTTGCAATAGTTGATTCATGACATGGTTTCTAAACTTCTATGAGCCAAGTGGTCTCGAGTTTAGTCCTAGTTTCCTTCAACAACAACAACAACAACAACAACAAAACCTTATTCCACTAAGTGGGGTCGGCTACATGGATCAACTTTTACCATAATGTTCTATTTAGGACCATGTTTCTATCCAAATCGTTAATCTCAAGATCTTTCTTAAATACTTATAGTTTTTCTAGGTCTACTTCTACCTCTAGTTGTTTGATTTCTCTCCCTGTAATCTATTCTTCTTATCACAAATTTACAATCTACAGGTCTTCTCTCACAAGAAGAAATTGAATTTCAGCACGAGATAGGCGGTCCTTTCATTTTTTACATTTTAAGCTCAGGGAGCCCATTTGCATGAAGGGGCATGTTAGAAAATTAATATAGAAACATCCTAATGTCTATACCAAAAAGTTTTATTTTATGGGATAGTTCATTGAAACAGTATCATTTGGATGATGTTCACTGTGGAGTTTTCTCTACTTGACTCAAATGAAAGAGAATTTTGTGTTATATCGAATAGCTATTTTCATGAATATTTCTTCATACTAATTTGTTTATGTGTATAATTATGGTGTCAAATATCACAAGTAAAAATACTGCATATGCAAAAAAATGGATACTATGAGACTATCCATAAAGCATTGCTTATACTATATAATGTTGTTTTTGTTGGCTCTATTTGATATTGTCAATTTGTGATAATTTTATTTGAATTGACATGCAGTTGAAGCATTAAAAGCCATAAAAGAAAGGTTGATTGATCCTAATGGAAATTTGAGCAATTGGAATCGCGGAGACCCATGTATGTCTCACTGGACAGGAGTATTATGTTTCAATGAAACATTAGTTGATGGCTATTTACATGTTCAAGAATTGTATGCTTTCTGTCTTCTACTTGACATTTCTGTTCATAGTTCACAGTTCTTTATGATGAATTTTTCAATTTATTTTCCCGAGTTAATATGTCCTGTAATCTCCATTTGACAAACTATCAATCTTATTCGTTGTTTTTTTTCTTTCATTTTTTCATTTCTTTTCCAGAATCAACACTAAATGCAGAGCGTGATTCTGTGTTTGAAATTTGAGAATTTTCTTTCTGCTGCTACTCGTTTTTTATGTTTGTTTTTCTTGTTTGTAGGCAACTAATGAATTTGAGCTTGTCCGGAAATTTGGCACCAGAAATTGGAAGCTTAGCTTATATGGAAAGATTGTAAGACTATAGCTTCATTTATGTTTGAAACAACAAATATTGCGAATGAATTTCAATTTAACAATTGTTCGATCCCGCTTTGCTTAGGTAGTAGTTTTGACTCATTTGAGTGTTTCCTAATTTGCTAATACATGTTTTTCGGTGTTCTAAAGGAACTTCATGTGGAACAAAATTACTGGGAGTATTCCAAAGGAAATTGGCAATATCAAATCTTTAGTCCTCTTGTAAGTCAACCCTTTTTCTTTTGGCATGTATGCTAGTTGTGATATATGATTAAAGAGCTCAATTGCTTTATCGCCTTGGTAAAAAATGGTTCTTCACATTACCTTTTTTTTTCTTTTTCATTTTTTGTAGGCTATTAAATGGAAATCTATTAACAGGTTCACTGCCAGATGAGCTTGGCTTTCTTCCAAACCTTGATAGAATACAAATCGATCAAAATAATATATCAGGATCTCTACCAACATCATTTGCAAACCTGAACAAGACAAAGCACTTGTATGGTTCTTTACAACGGAAATTTAGTTTAACCATGGCCATTGTAATTATTAACATAACAATAGAAAGAAAATAATGTTTCATTTTTCCCCCCCAATGGTGCAGTCACATGAACAATAATTCAATTAGCGGGCAAATCCCACCAGAACTCTCGCGATTACCAAAGCTTGTTCACTTGTAAGTTTCTCAACGAAAGTATCCATTAACATATTTCTTTGTTTAATTAAATCCTTAGATATATCATGCTTATATGTTTGTTAACAATGTTTTTCTCTGGACCTGCAGCCTTCTTGACAACAACAATTTATCAGGACATCTTCCTCCTGAGCTATCCAAACTTCCAAACCTACTTATTCTGTATGATTTCTTATTCTCTGAGATGTTTGTGTGTGCGCATGTAAAGGACATCTCATAATTCTTGGTTGTATTATAAAATAGTTTAGAGTGTCCTAGATGATATGTTAGGAATAGTTTCCGTAGTTCATTTGTTGAGTATGACTCATATATATGCAAATTAGGAGTATTGTTATGCAGTAATATTATATATATTGCTTGTAATACTGTAACCCTGATTTCATCAAAGAAATAAAACGGAACTATAACTGCTCTATACTTATAGTCCCAGTCTCCCAGAGGTAGGCACCATTGGCCGAACTGCGTTAACAAAGATCAATCGTCTTCATTGTCTTTTACTTTCGTTTCTTTAATCTTCTATATTGGTTGCTGTTCTAACATCACTATATATCATGATTTTATTTTCTGATTAAATTTCTAGTCATGTTTTATTATAAATAAGAGATCAGTACTTTGTCTTTGTGTGATCATTGTAACACGTCCTTCACAGTAAACCTCTTTTGATGTCTACATTACAGCTCTTAAATGTTCGTTTGTATATTTTATGCAGTATAATAAGAATTTTGAAGTGTTGTTTTGGATTTTCTTGTTTTTGCAGTCAACTTGACAATAATAACTTCGAAGGAAATAGCATTCCAGATACTTATAGCGACATGTCAAAATTGTTGAAGTTGTAAGTGAATTTTATAATCCCTTGTCTCTAAGTTTATAAGAACAGTGAGTGGAGTCTAGGTACTACATTTTTTAGAGAAGATAGCACATAGTTTGGTTAGGAGAAGGATTTGATTTCAAGTATGGTCATCTAAATGTTGTTATTGGTTTCTTGACATTATCAGGAGCCTTAAGAATTGCAACTTGCATGGACCAATTCCCGACTTAAGCCGAATACCACACCTTCTTTATCTGTAAGTTCAGTTATCAGTACTAAAAGAGGTTACTGTTCTAGGCAAAGAGTTGCTGAAACTAGCGTGTAACTATTTTTATTTAGCATTATTATATGTATTTCAGCGACCTCAGTTCCAATCAGTTGAATGAATCAATTCCCTCCGATCTTTCACAAAACATCACAACCATGTAAGAATCTCTTTCATTGAAATAATTTGTACTCTATTGATTTTCCATTTAATTATTTGAATTGAACTACATATGCCAATATTTCCCACCTGTTTTTTGTCCTCTGGGGTTATATGCAGTGATTTATCATACAACGTACTTACAGGAACCATTCCGTCCTCATTTTCTAATCTTCCAAATCTTCAGAAATTGTAAGTTGTCATTTGTTTTATCTTTTCTTCTTCTATAGAATTAATTGTTAACATAAGCCAAATGAAAGTTACTATCTAGTATCTACCACATTTATAATTTTCCCACCACATACTGAATTTTGTACTAGTTAGTAAGACCCTATTTTATGTTTCTTATTAATCAATCGTGATATAAAATAAACGGTTTCTTACTAATGTCATTCTCCGTGGTAGGTCTCTTGCAAACAATTCATTGATTGGCAGTGTTCCTTCTACAATTTGGCAGAACAAGACTTTAAATGGAACAGAAAGATTTATCTTGTAAGCTCTAAAGCGATAAATTCCACAATTTTATTTTCTTAGCTAAATATGTATGGGGAGTGTGTGTTCGTGCTCTTTCATATGTAGAAAATCATAGTATGTGTGTGTATGAAACATTGACATAGATTCCAACACCTGACAGAACACTGATACATAGACACCAGTAATAATTACAGAAAACAAAAGTAATTTAATCACGTGTCAATGTCATGTGGGTGCAGATTTGAACCTTGTGGCATATTTTGGGATTTTTTCTATGATAATATGTTCAATATATAATAGTATTTCCTTCTGCATAGATGCTAGTGAATACTTTGATTTACACTTTTGATTTTCATAGCCTGTGATTCTGATCTTGCAGGGAGTTGGAAAATAATCGATTCACAACTGTATCAGGCAGTATTGATCTTCCTCCAAATGTCACAGTCTTGTAAGGTTCTTAACTTTCTACGCAGTTTGTACTGAAAGCATTCAAATTCCTTGTGTAATTTTCTGAAGATCAAGCATCAAGCACTAGATTCAGCATATGTACCCGATTGTTTTTAAATAGCTTCCACGTTGTTATCTGAAAATAATTGTCTTCCAGGCTTCGTGGGAATCCTCTATGCTCAAATAACAGCCTGGATCAGCTCTGTAGCTCCGAAGGTGTTAACAACGCAGATGGCCTAATTCCAACAAACTCCAATGGCTTATGTCCCGCTCAATCGTGCCCACCACCATACGAGTACTCTTTGGATTGTTTCTGTGCAGCCCCATTGCTTGTTGATTACCGATTGAAAAGTCCTGGGTTTTCAGATTTCCTTCCATTTATTAATGAATTTGAGAAGTACTTGACTACCGGTCTTACTATAAATATGACTCAGCTAAACTTTACTTTTCGGTGGGAGGCAGGACCTCGACTGCGAATGAACTTGAAGTTTTTTCCTGTATATCTTGGTCAAAATAGTTCTCATACTTTCAATGAAACCGAGGTCGCACGAATTAAAAGCATGTTCACCGGATGGAATATTCCTGACAGTGATTTATTTGGGCCCTATGAATTGATCAACTTCAATATGGGTATTTACCAGAATGGTAAGTCTCAGAAACTACTTATGAATATTATGAATTTCAATTAAAATCTCTGTTAGGGTTAATGCATATTTCTCATTATTGTTGCAGTTACCGTCACCTCTTCAAAATCAGGGATAAGTACAGGAGCAATAGTCGGCATAGTCTTAGGAGCAATTGCATGTGCGGTGACGTTGTCTGCAATTGTTACTCTCCTTATATTAAGAACAAAATTGAAAGATTATCGTGCAGTTTCCAAACGGCGTCATGGTGAGTTCCTTATCATGAATCAGCAAGTGTATTGTTATTTTGTTTCTTATCAAAATCTGGAAGTGGTGCTACTAATTTACTGTTACAGACAATATTTAATCGGTTATCAAGAATAACATAGTTTCTTATTTATTAACAGTGTCTAAAATCTCGATAAAAATTGATGGTGTAAGGGCCTTCACTTACGGAGAATTGTCCTCCGCTACAAACAATTTTAACAGCTCTGCTCAAGTCGGACAAGGGGGATACGGGAAGGTATATAAAGGTATTATATCCGATGGCACTGTTGTTGCCATTAAACGTGCACAGGAGGGGTCATTGCAAGGCGAGAAGGAGTTCCTTACAGAAATATCGTTACTATCAAGGTTACATCATCGCAACCTTGTCTCTTTGGTTGGATACTGTGACGAAGAAGGTGAACAGATGCTGGTTTATGAATATATGCCAAATGGCACACTAAGGGATCACCTTTCTGGTACATTTGAAGTTCTCGTTTTCTAGTTTTTCGATATTGTATATTAACTTCTTATAAGTTAGTAACATCGTATGCTGTTCTAAACAGTTTCATCAAAAGAACCTCTGACTTTTATCACGAGATTGAAGATTGCACTAGGGTCAGCTAAAGGTCTCATGTATCTACACAATGAAGCTGATCCTCCCATATTTCATCGGGATGTCAAGGCTAGCAACATATTATTGGACTCTAAGCTCTCCGCAAAAGTTGCAGATTTTGGACTTTCAAGGCTTGCCCCAGTTCCAGATATGGAAGGCATTGTGCCGGGTCATGTATCTACTGTGGTAAAAGGGACACCGGTAAGGCTTTCATAGTTGGACTTGACTTTTCTAAAATGTGCATGTGTATGTTAAGAGGATTAGCACATTTAATGTTGAGCTAGAGCCAATTTGGATTTAACTTATTCGAGCTTATCTATTGACGTAAACACTTGTGAAATTATTTGGGGGAGAATATCGAAGAAGCTTATGATATGTCTATAAGCAGTTTTTAGCTTATTTTCATAAGCTCTCTAGAATAGCTTATGAAAACAACTTTTAATTTATCTGAAAACAATTTGATTTGATTTTATCTTTTGGTATAGAAATAGCTTATACATGAACACTTGAGTGCTTTTGCTACAAACGCTTAATTAAACTGTTTATCTAAACTCGTCCGTAATCAGGAAATTAAAAAGCCCATCTCAGATAAACGGCCAGCCAAAATAGTGTGTGCGGATGTGTGTGTTGGAAGCTTGATTTTATTTATTCAACAAATATTTATCTTTTGTTAATCTTTTCCCTTCCCTCGATTTTAAATATGCAGGGTTACCTTGATCCCGAGTACTTCTTAACTCACAAGTTGACCGACAAGAGTGATGTTTACAGTCTTGGTGTTGTGTTTCTTGAACTTTTGACCGGAATGCATCCTATCTCACATGGCAAAAACATTGTTAGAGAGGTATGTACTTGACTCAGTTTCTCTCCCAATTCTCTTTTAAGTGTGTTTGGATCAAACTAATATCAACAGTTGGAAAATATAATTTCTGCAACTTTTTTCAGGTCAATCTTTCGTACCAAGCCGGCGTAATATTTTCAATCATCGACGAGCGAATGGGGTCTTATCCATCCGAGCACGTAGAGAAATTTTTAACATTGGCCCTCAAGTGTTGCAATGACGAGCCAGATAATCGACCAAAAATGGCAGAAGTAGTTAGAGAGCTTGAAAACATATGGAATGTAATGCCAGAATCAGATACAAGAAGAGGTGAATCTATAACCAGTGTGAGTGATTCAAGCAAAGCAATGAGTACACCATCTTCATCATCTGCTGCTATAAGGACTTCTTTTGTATCAGGGGATGTGTCTGGTAGTGACCTTGTTAGTGGAGTAATACCAAGCATCAAGCCAAGATAGAATTACATACAGGAGTTGAAAAATATTAGATATAGATATTATAGTCCATCTTATATGAATTGAATAATGTGATCATTATTAATTTATGTCACTAGGTTTCATCTTCACCCTTTGTATTATTTTTTCTTGTACAATCTGATACCGATAGAACATGGGGTTGTATATAACATATATGATTTTTACATCATATAGGCTAATGATTTTTGTTAAATAGTAAACCATTAACTAAACACAAGAATTGTTAACCCAGATCCGTGCAAAGTCATTTACATCCGGTGGGCATCAACTTAAAGAAATTAAATTCATTCTTAATAGCCAATAATAGTACACAACAATCTTATATGAACTCTCCTAGTTCAATGACTTTTTTATTAATACTACCTGCGAACTTTGATCTAGGCTCCTCCTAAATCTGAGATTCCTTTCACTTTCACTAAAACACTCTCTCAAGTGTTTGTACAATAAACTAAGTGTTTGAAGTGATGTAACTCAATTACAACACAAATATTCTATTCTCCTAACATAGAAAGATAACCTAGAAATAAAGTATACCAACATAAAACACAAAGATGCAAGGTTTGAGTCTTCAAAAAAGAAAACACCTTTTTAAATAGCAACAAATGACCAACATAAGAAGCCCAAATATTCTATTCTCCTAACATAGAAAGATAACCTAGAAATAAAGTATACCAACATAAAACACAAAGATGCAAGGTTTGAGTCTTCAAAAAAGAAAAAACCTTTTTAAATAGCAACAAATGACCAACATAAGAAGCCCAGTAGTGTTTTTGGCTGGAAAACAATAGGACAAAAAATATTGAGCATTTCTTTTCTCACCACATGCATTTCTTATGCACCATGTGGATTTTTTATTATGCCTCCGATTTCAAAGATATATCTCCGGGCGCACCTCATGTCTGACTAAACGTTAAAATATTCCGGAGATATATCTTTGAAACTATTTAAACTTAGTCGTAACATATCTCCCATAGCCCATTTCTATTTGAATATTTTCGGAGATGCATCTACAAAAATCACAATGCCAACGTCAGTATAGGTGACACTCGTGTCCACAAAAATCACAGTGTCAACTAAATAAAAAAATATGCCCTCAAAGATCAGTCTGCTGTGCAACAACGATCTCATAATCAAATAACCTCTTCAGGAACGAAAACCTAACATGAGCACCCTGGTCCTATCCACCTCCTCAAACGCATTCCTTGGATCAACCCCCATATGCTCCACCATCATATCGACCACCTCGTCTCTGGTCATCCTACCGTGATGGAGGAATCTCCCTTAATCGGAAGATGCAACAAAGACAAGACGTCGTCCAGGGTGATAGACATCTCACCATGCGTGAGATGAAAAGAAGACGTCTCAGAATGCCATCTCTCCACAAATGCATTAAGCATCCCGTGGTTGACCAGAGTGTAACCGGTCAAGCATAGGTCACTCAACCCAGAAGCGGTAAGAGCAGACTGAAACCACTGCTCACCCGACTGATGCAATGCTAAAATCTCCCGCTCATGGTTCAGAAACTTCTGGGGATCACGCACTTACGAATTTCCATAAATAATTAATGTCAATAAGAATCAATATTAGAATTAATCAATGTCAACAATTTAAATTAACGTAAAATAATAAATAAAAAATTAGACTAATGTTACCTTTCCATCCTAAATATGTTTGACAATGTGGTCTGAATATAAAGGAAGTAGGGACATATCAGATGGACCCCCCTCCGAAAGCCTCTGGCTCGACATCAGCAACCTCACCCTCTGGAGGTGGCACTGGTGCATCAGGATCATCAACAACCTCACCCTCTAGAGCTGACACAGGATCAACAGAAGGTGGCACAGGTGCATTCCGACGCCTGAAAAAGGATAGGGGACGTGACGCGTCATCTGGTGCACCTCGTCTGCTGCAGAAAGAAGAAAAAGAAGGTGAGTGATCTGAGATTTAGATGGAGTATACTGAGGTGAAGTCCTAACCTTTGGAGCAAACTGCGCCATAGGAGTGGACTGCGCCAGCGGAGTGAACTGCGCCACAAGAATGGACTGAGCCTTAAGAGTAAACTGCGCCCCAGAAGTCGATGCCTCTCCCTGACCAGAGGTACCCGATGCTTCCTCTCTCGCTGAACGAATTCTTGAGGAAAAACCCGTCCAAGTCTCAATCAGTCGGCTCTGTCAGCCATTATGTCTGTAAGGTAAAATTAACCGTATAATGAGTTTACGCAAAAGAATAACACGAACAAGAATATTATAAAACAAAAATAAAAAAAACAAAAAAATAGACTGAGGACATTCCAGAGATATATCTACGGAAATATTCCAGAGATGTATCTTCAAAATTTTCTAAAGTACATGAAATGTTGATTTTTTCGGAGATGTATCTTCAAAATTTTCTTAAACGCAGAGGTCGCAACAATGACGTCCTCTGCTATTGAGAGTGAAAAATAAAGCCACGGTCGTCCATTTAAGCCAACAAACAATACATGCACTTACTCTAAACTATGTCTCGTCTTATTTCTAAACATTTCGACACCTAACAATGGATTCTAACTCGTTTACAAAAAAAATCAAATATTTATTGTAAACTGAAAAAATCTACCCGAAATTTATGATTGGAAGATGTTGAATGATGAAATGGATGATGATTAATGATTACTTGAGTCTCGGACGAATGAAATACAATTTGGTGAAGTTCGAGAAAATTGGGAATGAGAGAGTGGAAGAGTTTTGCGAATGAAAATGAAAAGTGTGGGAGGAGAAGAGTCTGACGCGATAATAACTTCCAAAATATTCCGGAGATATATATCTCAAGAATATTTCAACGTCCACTTATGTTTAGGTGCATCCGGAGATATATCTCCGAAATATTTTAATGTTTAATTGAATTTTGGTGCGTCCTGAGATATATCTCCTAAATCAAGAGACATATGTGGAAAGTCACATGGTGTGAAAAAAGTCCATGGGGTGGGAAAATAAATGCTCAAAATATTAATCTTCATAAATTTGATTATGAATCTTGAATGCTCAAACAAATAAATCTGAATTTGTTATGAATCTTGAACACACTCAAGAAGTTACAACATCAAGAGGTATAGTATGGACTTCCCAAAATCTAATTAAATCTGAATTTTATATGAATATGAATTCCAATCTTGCTAAAACAAATTCAAGATAATTCTTTTTCAAACGAGAAAAGGAAACAAATGTCAAAAGCGCGAGATACACTATATTAAAAACTTGCGTGTCAAGCAAACAACTCGAGATAGAATGTCTCGTACAATGTCAGAACATCTAACTTATCATGTTGCTTTCATCAAATGCGCCATGAGCTACTTTGAGACTGAATGTCCAACATCGTGATAAAATATTATGCTTCTTAGGTTTCCAACAAAATATTGTCAATCACATGTAATAACAACAACAACAACAATATTAAACCTTCAATCTCAACAAGAACATAGCATAACAACAACAAAATTAATAAAATTTTTGAACCTTCAATCTCAACAATAAAATAGCATTAAACCTTTAAAAAATTTCAACTATAACAACAAAATTATACCTTCAATCTCAACAAAAACAACAACAACAACAACAACAACAACAACAACAACATTAAACCTTTAAACCTTCGATCTCAACATCAACAACATTAGAATTTCAATCTCAACAATAAAAATAATATTAAACCATTTACTTAACACAACAACAACTACAACAACAACAAACAACAATAAAATCACTTAATTTTCATGTTTTATTCACAAACTTCAAAACATCACAACTCACTTATTTTTTTGAAAACATTTTTCCCCATTATTTTTGCAAAATGTTCTTCATCGTGTCTATTTTCAAATATTGAGAAAAGAATTCAAGGATGCCTATCCTAGAAATACTTTAACTCACTTGGAAATCATGTTGCTTTTAGGGTTTTCACCTTGTTTCTTTTGAAACTTTTCTCAACTATCTCTTGACTTATCTTGTAAGATTAATTGTGCTTAATCCAAATATGTTTGTCAACATGTTTGAAGGATTAAAGTTTGCTTGATTCAAAACCTTACCATGTTCATCTTTGCTTTTGTGAGTGCATATGTTGAAAACAACACTTTGAACCTTGTTTGTGAACCATACTATACCTCTTGATGTTGTAACTTCTTGAGTGTGTTCATCATGTCTCTTTCTACTTGTCTATGTATCTTGTTAGAACCATAATATGCGATATCTTTGCGAGCAAACTTAAAAACTATCCTCAGGTCGTTACCTAGAGCTTTACCCAAACCTTGACCCCAAAACATTTAGAAAACTTAGCATACAAACATACAAAAGGTTCCTGTAGAGTACTACATATGTTTAGGATGTGAAATACCTACCCTAGGCATAACCAACCCCCGAATCTCTTAGTGCTGTTGTTACATCGTGCAAAAGGGTTTTTCTTTCTTTAACATTTCCTTTGGATAAATCAAAGTCCGGTTGTGAATTTAATAAATTAAGATTTAAGTTAATCAATAACTTGATATCACGATTCTCACCGCAACGCTAAAGAATTTTGAAAGAGTCAACAATAGAGAAAAAAATGGTGAAAGAAGTTGTGATGTGTAAATATCTTGTTTAGTGAATATTTCTTTTGCTTGACAACTTTGTTTCAATAGCCTAAAAAATGACCCTTTGTTGTAAAGCCCGGCCAAACTACAACCTTACAAGCCCTTAGCGATCTTTTACTTCCATGATTTCTAATATGATTATTTGATGAATGTATAAATTGATTTTGTTGTTAGCATTGTTTTTCAGGCGAGTGTAATTGTCCCGCATATTCAAAATGCACAAATTTCTTCATCCATTAATTGAAGAGGAATGTTAGGGTGATTCAAGTATGAGAACTTAGTGTTTTATAAATGCATTGTATGATATTTGTTTTAAGAACTAAATTCTTTGTCACTGTTTGATTCTAGGAAGTAGTGAATGTTGCTTGTGAGCATTCATATGTTG